ACATACATACATACATACGCATACATGCATGCATGCATACATACATGCATGCCTGCACATACATACATACATACATACGTACATACATACATACATACGTACGTACGTACATACATACATACATACGTACGTACGTACCTGCATGTGTGTGCATGCATGTACACACACACATAAGGAATTTCTCCATGTATGCATCTCCGCCTAACTCTGCTTCTCTATGTGTGTGTGTATATATATATATATAAGCATATCTGTGTGTTTGTGGAAGCCTTCAGTTGGGAGGACAACGATCATGGATCTGTAATCTGTAAGGCACTGGGCTTTCTGGCTCACTGCTTGAGGTAACCTTGTCCTCATAACACTTGTCGTATGCTTTTTTTGGCCAAAGAAGGGACTGCGGGGCAAATGGCCGCACGCAAGCTCGTAGCCTCAGCCCAAAGTCAACCCGATGGTCAGGCCCATGGTCTGTGTTGCCCTGTCGCGCCTGGCAACCCGACAGCTGCCTGATTAGTAAATCTTATACCTAGCAACCGAAGCGACCAAATCGTGTTCTGAAGTGTCCCGACAACGACCACCCATTGCTCTGCGGTAGCGGCCCGGTCGCACAAAGGCTCCTCCTATCCAGGCCAGCTCAAGGCTGAAGTCTACTTCGTCAAACCAAACCCATACAAAGCATATGCAAGGCAAAAACATTAGGTTCGGCGATTTGCAGCAGTTCGAACACGCAGCAGCTATCGACACCATTCGTGAATCGTGAGCTAGAGGCCTGGGTTCCCCTGCCCGACAGCCGATGCCCTGCAACGCGTTCAGCTCTAGTCTGAGTAATGGAGCCAGGCAGCCGCAGCGTCTTTCTCGGCTGCGAGGTCTTCTCGCCAGCCTTGGCACAGGTCAAAGGACAGCCTCGGGGTCGGGGGTCCTCTAAAGATCTTGTAGCTGTTTGCACTGGGACAAGCAGGAAATCTGGAATCCACAAGATGAAACACAGAATGACAAAGGGAAAGCGAACAGAAAAGCGCCTTGACTATGCATAAATCGTCTGTGGTAGTGAGGTAGTGCCAGTGACAAATCGTGGTTGGTTGTGATGACGTCTATCAGGACAACAACACTCTCCAGGCATACGGACTTCTTTGAAGCATTGGACTCGGTGACCGCGTACGGACTATCACCATTAATAATTACCACGAATTTCGAGTAACGCCGGTACTAGTTGCTGACCCCAGGCTCGTAAAGCAGGCCTTCATTCGTCATGTATCTAGAGCCGTGGGCATTGCAGGTATTGCTGAGATGATGCACCCGGACCATACGCAGGTGACAACTGGGACAATGGCTATCGAATTCGGACCCGCGCAGCTTGAAGCAAACAAAAGTACAGGCAGGCACTCGACGAAGCGGGCCGATACAACAAAACATCCTGTAGTTGTGTATACCGGCACCCCTCTCTCGACGATATGTGGGAACTCCGTCAACTTCAACGGAGATGCTGCAGATGCTGCATCAAGTGGGTCAGCCCGATACTGTACCACTGCCCCAGATTTGACTCACCAATTGTCGCCGCGGAACGCTGGGTGTACTTCCCCATGTTTGCCAGCACTGGTGCAAAGCTCTCCGGTGATGCTGCATTCCTTCGCACAGCTGCACACTTCTCTGTCCTACTGGCAGCCTGCAGCAGACTGCTCCCAAACTTGCCAATGACATCCAACAGACTCTGTAAATACTGGGACATTTTCTTATCCTTGAGACAAGCTGCCTCGCCATGTCTGTGAGATCTCTGACATCGTCCAGTTGGGTCCTGACATGTTGACTGGACTATTCGCAGATTGATGTTTTGCACCCTGCGCGGCACTTGATCGAACGTCTCCGCAAGGTGGCCTTCCAGCACTGAGCCGCTGCTGCAAAGACCCAAGGACGGAGTCCAGCGATTGGAGGCCAGTCGTTTGATAGGCCTGGAATTGATGTGGGGGGGGCCAGTTGGCTTCGCAGCACAGCTCCGGGACAGGCCTTCAGAGCCCCAGCTGGCATGGCAGCCAGGACAATGGCCAACCCTGCCCAAAAAGTCATGAAGAGAAGGACGGACGGCAAATGCTATGCAAGACTTGTAAATTTGAGCTGCTCGGGTTTGGCCTGCCAGGCTGGCCATGTGCTTCATTGTGGGCTCAGGGAGCCAAATTCTGGCCTGAAGTACAGCTGACCAAGGCTACACACCTCTAATCGAAGGTTTTTTGATTCTGGCGGGTGCTACACGCGCGGAAACCTTCTCCACTGGAATGAGACTTCGTGAGTGAGAGCCGAGCAGCACGGAATCTCGGCGCTTGAGTGCAATCGCGATGATTGCCTCACCAGCCCCGGCCCCAGGGACTTAGCAGAACCCTTGCCCATTTTGGGTGATAATACCACCAGCCTACC